TCATATTAAGAATTTAGCATTGAGTTAAATTATGTTTAATAGTTTTCATGAATGTGGATGTGCAGAAGAAGAAGAAAGTGAAAAATGGGAGAAAGACACTGAATCTGAAATGAAATGGACTGGACATGTATATTACTGGTGAGAAGAACATTTTAACCCTAATAAGAACAAAGTCAAGTCAAAAAGTGGAGTTTCCGTTTTCCATTTTTCACAGAAAGACATCATTGCTACGTCACACGCAGAAAGACACAAAAACATCATTTCATTAACGAATGTCAACATTCGTCCGGTTTCCCATATTCGTTCTCTTACCAAACGCATGCTGACATCCGTTGCACAATATTAAGAATATAAACCAATAAAAATAACTAAAAAAATATAAATATAAAAATAACTAATAATTAAAACACTGAAACGCATAGTCAATCCACTCTTCAACGAATCTCCATATCCGTTCACGCATTTTGATATCAGTTGCACACAGTTATGGATATTGACATCCATTTCATTTATCCACACCTATTTTTATCGCTCTGCTTAATTAACCCGTTGCACGACCTTCAACCACCTTCAACAACTAACACTGCACCACGCCATCATTGAAGCTTTCCATCTCCAATAAAACACACCAAGGAGAAGAGAAACACACAGGGAGGAAAGGAGAAGCAGAGAATTTGAGCTCAAACATCAAATACATGGGGTGCAGAGTCTATATACCGGTGGAGATGGGTGTAAATATTAATGAAAAGTAATTGGAAGTTAAAAAATATTTACTAGAAGGATGAGGGGTAAAATTGGAATGGGATGGTGCAAGTAGCGTTCTGTTGTGGTGGAGGGAGCAACCTCCTGAGTTTCATCCTGAACCTCCAAATATTTTGAAAAGCACGATTTTATCCCTCAATTAAAAGCAATTATAATGTTATTAACTTTTAATAAAAAGAAGAAAAATCTTTGAACAAATTCTTTTAACAACTTTCATCTTTTAATAACTTTATCTTTCTTCATTGTTTTTTTTTTCGGATTTTAATTTCTTTTTTCTTTGTTTCCTTTGATTTCTCCACATATATTTATTTTAATTAATTAATAATTTATATTTTGATTAAATTTCGTTGTTTTCAATTATTTTTCTTCTAGTTTTTAATTTTTAATTATTATTTTATTTTAATTAATTAAATATTTATAAAAATGTTTGAATTAATTATATTTTTTGAATTAAATATTTTAGTTTTTAAATATTTAATATTTATTTTAATTTTTTTAATTTATAGAATATATAGTTTTTTTATTTCTAATAATATATTAATGAATTAATTAAATTGATTAAATTTTTTTTGTTTTGAATTATTTAATGTTTAGTATTTTAATTTTTTATAATTTTTACATATTTTGTTACTTTTCTTAATGAAATATTAGGATTTTATAATTATATAAATATTTTAATTAATTAAAATTATTTTGAATTAAAATTAATTCTTTGTAATTATTTAATATTTATTTTAAATTTTTATAACTTCTTATAATTTAATGTTTGATTTGTTTGATATTTAATATTTATTTAAAACTACCTAAAACTCATATAAAATTTTCGTATCAATTTTACATACCAATCTTATTTTAATAAATTAAAAAAATGTCACACAATTTATTGTGTAAAAAAAATTATGAAAATGAAAAACTAATAAAATAAATTAAACATTTATAATTAAATTATAAAATCAATAAAATAATGTAATAATGTAATAATGTAATAAACTTAAAAAATAAAACACCAAAATAATAATATTTAAATTGAATGATCACGAAACTTAAAACTTAGCATAAGCCAAATATGGTACAGGTTTTTTTTAGAGAATTTATGCTAAATTTATTTAATATCATTTCTTGTAACGTGAATCGTGCATAATATTTAAAAGAACTTAAAAATCATGTGTTTGGACTTCGACACCAATTCTTTATTTATGGGATTTTGACATAGGAGAATCGGATTTGAAAATCTAATTTTGTTTCTTTCGGATTTTCATGTTGGATACAAGTTTTTTTTTTTCAAATTTGATTTATTCTTATTTGGATATCGATATTTGATTCACATTCATCGTATATCAAAATTCAATAAAAGAATAATTATATTTTTATATCTGATTATTTGTTCATTAAATTTCGATATCTGACTACGATACGTGAGTTTTATTATAATTTTATGCATATGTCTAACACAAAGAATCTTAAAAGAAAAATATTTTCCATATGAGCTACCAACATAGCATCAACACTCTCATTCTTTCTAACATGAACAACTTCTCTCAAATCTATCTTAAAGAAGGAAGGAAAGAAAGAAATAAAATGGGATACAAGAACAAAAGTGAAAACTGAAATATATATTTAACGCTTTACATGGCTTAAATTCCTTCTGTTAAATTTTTTTAATGCATAATAACCTCATTAATTACGAGAACATTTATAAAAATTGAGAGTAGACAGGTTAAACCCTTTAGAAGTACAAAATGAAACACCTTTTATGAAATTATAAAATATAAAATGTTATTTATTTTTGTTTTTCTCTTCCTCCACTTCCATCATTCTTCCTCTATCTCTATTGATACCACGATAAAAGTTGATCATTACAAATATAATCTTAATTCTCATCATATAAATTAAATATTTATCATAACTGTGTTCATTTAAATCTATAAAAACTTAAAGGAAAATCACAAGTTAAAAATTTAAGACATTGCTAACTTTTTGTTAGCAATTACATTTAACTTTTTGTTAAAATATATCTTCAGCAACCATGACAACTCAATTAGACCTCACTACAAGAATGATTAATAATACTAATAATTAACAAAACTTGTATCAACATCTTACAAAGCTATAAAACTTATTCTAGAAGCAAAAATAAGAATTGAGAAAATTAAATGTATATATGTTAGAGGGAAAAAAAATACACTATTAAGAATTATTGTATAGTGGTGGTTGTGACTTCACGGCAGCAATGTTAATAAGAAATAAAATGTTGATATGAAAATCAATTGTCTTTAATATTTGAAAAGGATATTTTTGAATCTTCTCATGGATTCAAAATCATTGATTATTCTCTGATTGCGACATTTAATATGATTTATTTCTTTTAACTTCATTTTTCTTCTTTTGTACTAGTTTCTTAATCATGAAGCTAATAACTTGTAAAATTCTCAAACAAGAAACCCTGCTTTGAAATATTTAAAGACTTGTTAGATTATACTTATATAGCTAAATGTGTTCACTGGAAATAGAATCATCTTAATATTTTTTCTGGTGTTAAAAGGGAAAAAATAGTATTATATAAGAAGGAACATTCTTTTAAAAAAGAAGAAATATATATAAAAGAATATTGTAATAAACTATGCAATTAAATATGCTTTGAAATATTTGTGTTGGTTTAACAATTAATATTTACTTGATTAATACTTAGTCAACATCTTCATATTTTTTTTTATGTGAACAAAGAGTGTTTCACTACAATACATGCTAATTTATCAGATAAATATTAAGAAAAATAAATAAATAATATCAAGAATTTTCAATGGTAATTTATGACAGTCATCTTATGCTTCCAAGTTAGAAGTTTCCATTGAATACATCTTCTCTTCTACTGACTCACTGATGACAACTTTTCTTTCTAAAGAAAAATACTGCAGAGAAGAAAAACGCAAGTTGTTAAGTGCTTTTGACATTTTAAGCACTTTTATGTTGTTGTAAACCAAACACGTCGTAAATAAATGTAATTTGAACGAAAAAAAATTGTAAAAAAAATAACATGACATCAAATTGTTTCACAACATAGTGAATATAATGCAACATTTTTTTAACAAAAGAGACAGTTTTGTTGGAAGATGTTATTACCATGAATATCAATTTTCTTAAAATATCCGAATGATGTTACATATTGAAAAGTAAAACTCAGAAGTTACTCACTAAATTCTGTTGTTGGTGTTTTTAGAGACAAGTTAAACCTATAATATATAAATAGTTGCATAGATTTGGAGAAACGAAAATAACAAGATTTGAAAAAGAAAAGAAAAGTGAAGATAATGTTATTTAGATTAAGGGAAAAATAATAATAAATGAGAAGAAAGTTTATAAAATAATTTGATTAATTTATTATATTATTAATATTAATGATAATAATTGATATTATTAATATATTTATAATTATTATTACATTGTGTGTAGACTTTTTTTTTTGCTTTTCTCTGTAAACAAGGAAAGAAAGTTTAAAAAAATATATCACATCCTATTATATCTTGTTTTTCCAACTTTAATCTCAAATTAGTATCTCCTATTTTTCGTTATTAGAAATAAATAAGGATGGAAGATTGAATTAAACATAAAATTTAATAATTAAAGATGATATTGAATCATTTAAAATTGATTATAATATTTACTATTGGTTGAATTTATTATAGGATAATGATATTTGGACAACATTTTTTTGACAATATTTTAACATCTTTTACGTGTTATTATGTGATTGGTCCATGTTAGTGTTTATGATTATTATTATTAATTGTGGAGTAATTTTGGTCCATGGTAATGTTAAAATGTTGTCAAAAGAATGTTCTCAAATATCATTATTCTTTATTATATCATTTATTATTAATTTTACATTTATTATTGTTATTTTAAATAGAAGGTCTTATTTAATTTTGATAATAGAAGTCAGTTATTTATTTTATTTTAGTAGTAGTCCTTCAATCCTCAATCTATTCCCTGCATAAAGAACAAAAGATGATAACAATGATTCGTTTTAAAAAGACAACGATGCAAAATATCTTGTTTACAGTATCTTAACATCGTCTATATATTATTTTGTTATTGATATAAAATTAATCAATAATAATAATTATAAATATTATTGATGAATCATAAAATGATAAATATTAAAATGTTAGTTAAAAAATCATTGTGAAACTATCGTTATCCTTTTAAAAATTGCATGTCTTTTGGCGCATCCAGTTACACATGATGCGATATCAATCATAGACCTTGGAACATTTTTCAACCTTTCCAACGTTAGGTTACTTGACAGACATAAAAGGAAAAAGCCAATTTAAACTCAACTTCCGTTGTGCTTTTCTCAGAACTCAATCTTCAAGAAGCAACAGCATGAGCAGTACCATTCTCATGACCTTCCTCACAGCCATTGCTTTTCTGGCACAATCCTTCCAAAACTACATCATCCGGCATTCTGGATATCCTGCTGCAGTGAACGAAAACGAAGATCACGAAAGTGATTATTGTTCAGTGTGTCTGAGCCAAATCTGTAAAGGGGAAAAAGTTAGGTCTCTTCCAGTATGCAATCACAGGTACCATGCTGATTGTATAGGTGCTTGGCTTAAGAACAATACCACATGCCCTCTTTGCAGGAACAAAATCACTGATCACAGCCTCCAAAAGCATAAACAGGTGAAGAACTTAGCAGAATCTCTGTTTAATCTTATGCAGAGTTTCACAGATCTGTTGGTAGCTGTTCTCTACATGGTACTTCCATCCACCGTCACTCAGAGTTTCCCTTTGGTTCACTGATATGAGACTGTGAATTGTATTGTAATCATGTATGCAGTATGCAGAATAGTGCAATTGCTGATGTTTTTTGAGTTTTGCTTGTTTGGCATGGGAACTCTGTTCTGCATAACTATGATTTTTTTGGAAGGTACAAAAGTTGGTTATGTCAGATTTGGAAGTTCCTAATGTGTGGCTTATTCTGGGAAATGTTATATGCAGTTCTTATTCCCGCTCAAGAAATATAACTGGTATAGGTATAAAGGTAAGAGGTCATTTTCATGCTAATGCCATTAACCTTAAATTTTCAATCTATATCCTCTGTTATCTACCTTGAATTCTTAGTCTATAACATATTTTGCAACACACTTTTCATACTTTTCTGTCTTCTGTTTTCTTTCAGTAAAGTTTCTGTGAAATGTTTATCTGTAATATTTCTATTATTCGTCTATATATAGCATCCAAATATAAATTATTGAAAGTTTTACATAGATTAGAAATTAAGTTTTACACCATATTAATGGGTATATATATATATATATATATATATATATATATATATATATATATATATATATATAAGAGAGA